TGGTTCGCCATGAATTCAGCACGCACACCCCATACCTAGTGCACCACTGTCGATGAGATATGACTGGTAGTCTATCGAGGGGTATGCCTACGGTAGTAGATGAATCGGTGGAGGTGCGTGTGGGAGAACCGGACGGTGACACAGAATGCAAGGGACAACGATTAGGCAAGTTTAGGCCGCCGACTTGGCGTAATACCCTATGTCTTGTGTCTTTTGGTGGGTTGTATTGCGTACGATCAAATGAAAACGAGGGGGGTCCCTATCCGCCTTATATAGCCTGGGGGTAGGGTTATAGATCAGTTGTTTCTATTCTGATCGATTTACAAGATAGGAAGTTACAGATATTAAGGGATCTAGCATATCCGAGCAGGTTTCCTAAATCACCGAGGATCTTCACACAGTCTTGCGTGGCACGCCAACATGTACCGCGCTTCGCACGACGTCGTCTTGTAAGCTAGGTCTCCACTAGTGGCGCGGCCCATGCGCAGTCTTGTAGGCTGGGCCTCCCCAAGCGGCTTGGCCCATGTACAGTCCTATGGATATCGGGGGTCATACCCCCACACTGACCCCCCTATAGGGGGGTAGAAGGCCACTGCGGCATGCATAGCCAGCATCTACCAGGTAGAATTTACCTACATTTGGACATCTACTGTGAGTGTGTGTGCCAATGTTAAGGACATAAGTGCATTGACTAGGTAGTGCAGTTACCGTAAGGTACAGTGAGCCCATCATTCCTCTCTATGGCATCAGCCAAGATAAGTGCATCATGGGCAGAGCCCTCCTAGCCCGCAAGGACATATGTGAACTTCAGATCAAAGTCCACAGCAGCTATGACATTTTATGTGGGGTTGTGTTTCTTACCCCTAAAAGCAGCTTGCATGTGTCTAGGCACCCTTGCCAACACATGGGTGCCATCAATGGCACCAATGCAGTCCTAAAAACCATGGAAGTGAGATAACAGTACATGTGAATATGCACATCTACCTAATGAAAGAACTTGTGCTTCACAATTACCTTCAAGAATGGATTCCATCTATAGCTTCCAAGTATCTTTGGGTGAATGGCAGTGCTAGGAGTCTTGATCATCTCATTCCTAAGCTCACCAACAGCATACAAAACCTGGTGGAAGTGTCTGTGCAATGTGTCAATGGACCTCCTAAATGACTAGTGGACAAGTCTAAATCTTTGGTTGTGACCAACCACATGAAGGAACATTACAACCTGCTCCTCTACTATGACACCCTCTCTATCAGATACTAGGCTCCTAGGTCTAAATAGATTGCATAAAGCAAAAAAAAGGAGCTACGATAATCTTAAGCATGGATAGGCACTCTCCATCACTGGAGCTATAGATCAGGTTAAGGGTATGTTGCTTGTGTTGGTCAGCTTCATCCCTAAGTGAGGCTCAGTATCAGATCCAGGCCTTTTCCTTTTAAGCCTTGTGGTAACAAAGGACACCATGACTACAACCATGGCAGCTGCTTGCCTACACCTCATCTCACGGCTCACAAAGGGATCCATCTACATGCATGTAACAATGAAACACAAACTCAGATAATCATACCCTGCCAGGCCTCAACATGATTGTACAATGATTCAGTAAGCAAATAAAGCACGGCTGCAATTAGGTACATGCCTCCCGGTGCTCAGGACAACATCATCGACCATATCATAAAAATACAGAAGCTAACCATATGAAAATCAAGAAACACATCAGGTATACAGAGCTCAATACAGAAGAAGCACATCATAATGGCAAGCATGAAAGACTGTAAGAACGACCATCACTGAACTATCAAATCAAACCCTAATCCATCGAGGAACAGCAAGTACAACTCAAATCAGATGAACAAATCATGAACACCAACTACGATATAAAACCCTAACATCATCGCCATCAAGAAGTAGGGAGGATTGGGGGTCAATTTCACCTCGGGGTCGGCGTCGACGCAAAGGAGCGGCGCAGCGGGAAGAAGAAGAAGACCCAGCGAGGCAGAGGAAGCATATCCGGCCGGAGAGGAAGCAGATCGGGCCAGAAGAACAGCTTCAGCACCACCGCAACAACAGAAGAAGAGGAAAGAAGACGGCTGCCTCCACGGGGTCCCCGCGGTCGACGGAGCGGCACCGCGTCGTAGCAGATCCAAGGCGGGGGAATGGAGACGAAGCCCGCCGGGGGAGGATGCCGCCACGACGCACACCAGCTCACCACCACCGCCGGTATCTCACGTGGCTAGAGGAAGGCGAAGAGCAAGGAGAGGAAGGAAGGAGAAGCAGCAGCAAGGGCCACTTATAAAGGCGGAGGATTTCGCCGGTGGGTAGAGCGCGCGCGGCCTTCCCGCGAGAGCCAACCCGCCGCCGCCGAAATTGCCCCCAAATCGCCCGCGCAGCGCCGCTCGCAGCCACGCCCGGGAGAAACGAACCTTAGTTTCGTTTCCCAGAGCCAGACGCTCGGGGCCGGCCAGGCTGCATCCTGAGCCAACGCTCCCAAACACGGGAGTTGCAGCCCACGAGCGCAGCCGGGCTCTTGGGCCACCCTCCCAAACCGGCCCGATATTTCTCTTGCATGTATATCGATTTGCACACACGTACTGCAAAGTTCTACTACTGGGTATATGTTGCTTTCTGGCTATAACAACTCCATTGGTTGGATTATAGGAGGTCCTGATGCGATGAACAAACAGACTGTGGCACATAGTAGACGTACGTCCGTGATGTGGCCGATGCTTTGCTTCTGCTGTACGTACGAGAAGAAAGAGTCGTCTGGGAGAAACATTCCGCTCGCGCATTCTGCTCCGTTGAAAGTCGACGTGCTCGACCACGACACACTAACAGCTCATGCATACTGCAATGTGCAAAGTGATTTCAGTTCTTTTTGTTTGGTTTGAAGACTCTAATCGGATACCATTTAATCAATTCTACCGCTATAGTTAAGCAACACCATGGCGAGAGGAATTGGATCCCAAGCCTCTGTCCTGTCCGTCGAAAGGCCATTCATCTTTTCCATTCATGGACAACATCTGTGGTGGCGGCCGGGTCGGATAATGGACAAAGCTGCTACTGCTCCAACAATATTCAATGGCACATTAGCTTACTCTAATCGCCCATCATACCTTGTAAACCTTGAATATTCAATGGCACATTAGCTTAGTTTAATCACCCATGATACCTTGTAAACCTTGATTGAATCGAAGATTACAAAAAGGGAATTCTGTAGAAGATGTTCCCCGTGCGTTTGTCTCCTTCCCGACCGGTTCATTCGGCGCGTTCTTCTCGTCGGTTTGCGTCTTGCATTTTGGTGTCAGAAAAGGAAGTGGCAACTGGCAAGCGGAAGCCGTGGCAGAGATATACGGGACGAAGAGGAGGACCGGAAAAGGGAGCAGTGAAGCCCTATAGTGGAGCGGGAGGGGCGTCGCCATCACCGCGGTTGTGTGTGTGCGCCTTAGCAGGGCGGCGGGTATCACGGCTACAAAATGTAGCTGTCTCTACAAATCGCAAATCGATAAAGATAGCAAATAAACCCACGCTTCGTGGTCACGGGGATCGAACGCACGACCCAAACAACACTTGTCCACGTGGGACAGAACCCTAAACGAATTAAAAAAAAGTTATCAACTACAAAGTTTTATAACTTTTCGAGATCTACAACTTTAATTTTGGTTGTTTCTCCATCAAAGATTGTTTGAAAATTTTGAATTTCAAATATGAGAAATTCAAACATAATGTTCTATGCATAGATGATTTTAAATGAAAAAAATGTCAACTACGAAGTTGGATAACTTTTCGAGATCTAAAACTTTTGTTTCGATCGTTTCCCCATCCGAGATCATCTAAAAAATTTATATTTTGCTATGCTGCTCCTATTTTTAGAGCCGAATAGAATCAATTTCTAGAGGTGGCTGGGAAATAGAGTCGCCTCTAAAAATATAGACATTTATAGAGACGGCTGGGAACAACGGTTGCCTCTACAAATTCATTTCTAGAGGCAACTCGGTTTGGTGGCCACTACAGAGGCGGCTGTAAATTGAGCTGCCTCTATAAAAAAAAAAGGCCCCAGTTGCTCAAAATCAAATTTGTAGTAGTGTATATTGTCTCATGGCTGGTCAAGCTCCTCCTCTCCAACGGCTATGACATGCATGCCACTGTCCGCGACCCAAAGTAAGCGCACCCCCTTGCGCGTGCACTGCTCATTTTGATCGGTCGAGAATTGGCGTCCGGCTCTCTGCTTCAGGTGATCCCAAGAACGCCCACCTGCAGCTGCTGGACGGGCCCGGAGAGCTTGTTTGTAATTATGTTTGTATGGACTTTGGTTTGTAATGCTTCTTCTCTACCTGCTAGTATGGTTTTCTAATTATGATATATTTATTATCAAATCATGTATGTGATGGCAGTGAGATGTACGGGATGCATTAATAACATCAAATGCAAATTATTAGGTAGTAACATGTATTTAAATGCATTAATAAAGTATACTAAAAAATTAGGAAGATGAAGGTCACCGTCGGTTGAATCCATTTAACTGGCAGTAAGGGTGAAACCATAACTGACTGGTAGGCTAGCCTCGGGAGTGACCATCATGATATCACTGTACTGTGTCAAGGATAGACTCAGCTATGATATTATTCTGTCACTTACGGGTCTAGAACCAACAATGATAGGCAAATCCATCATTGCCGATTACCTTCTGTTTTGGGAGTGATGCCAAGTTTAAATCCGACGGTGATCCAAGGGTCTGGAGTAGTGGTCACTGCTTGAAGTTAAAGCAAATTCTGTTTGTTGTAGACACCGACGAGAGAAAAGAAGAGAATACAATCTCCATCTAGTTACTCATCACCACCTAAACCGCGCACCATATATAAACCTCTCTTCGCAAGTAGTCACATACTCACATGACACAAGCGTAACTACTTAGCCCTTTGGTTTCTGTCCTTGCAAGGTTCCTATATTTTCTCCCCTCTAAGTGCACACGCAAGAGATAGAGAGCGAGCGGGAGACACAGAGAGATGTCCATGAGCTTCGTGTGCATGGTGGAGGCGGAGTTGCCCCCAGGGTTCCGGTTATACCCAAGGGATGATGAACTCATTCGTGAATATCTAGCACAGAAGGTCTTTGGCAGGATCGGCTTCTCTGGACATCGGCCGCCTATGGTGGACGTCGATCTCAACAAGGTTGAGCCATGGGATCTCCCCAGTGAGTCTCTGTCTCCCCTGCTCCTCTCCTTAATCGAGTACTGATTCTAATTCATAATAGCAAATGATCCCCATGGGATCTCACCACTTGCTGGTGTACTCCCGCACACGCACACGCACACGCACACGCACACGCACACAGGGAGGGAGGGAGAGAGAGAGAGAGAGAGAGCTGTGCTGCTATATATATCTAGATCTCTTCTTTCATTTCTTCTAAACCTAGGTAATCCCTTGATTGTCCCATGTCCTGTGAATCTCATTTGTATTTGTTATCCTCAATCGCTTCAGCAATCCACTGTGTATTGTGCATACACGTACATACAATAAACCTAACTACACCCTTTTTTTCATTATATATCATCAACGCAAAATTTACCCTTAGTATCTAAACTTTTAAATATTTAAAAAGTTTCCACCTACATCTATGCTCCTTCATTTCTTCAACTATTCTCTCATCTTAGTGTATTTTCTAGCTACTTCTTGTTTTTTTCCTTCAAATTTTGTTAATGAATTTCCCGGCCCAAAAATGTATAGCATAAATAAAAATGTGACCTGGTTTCTTATATTTCAGTGCCCGATCGATCATTTTCCTGGTCAAATTAACTCTAATAGTGCAACTGATTCTATGATACTAAATTTACGAATATAAATAACAGACATCAGGAATTATTCCGTTGTTTTTAGAATAGTAAATTTTTGGTTTTTTGCTCGTATAAAAACACAACATTGACTGCATAGATTAGTACGAATTTGCATGATGCATGAATGTATTACTTAAGCTGAGCATGCAATAACGGTGTTGCCCCTACCCAAACTGGAGATCGATGACTACCACGCCATGACAACTTTGTTTCACCACACCTGAATTATTCGTAGTTCTGGTTCAATATCAAGTACTTAAGCTGGTAAGCGTCTTTCTGTCGCCGTATGCATAAACATCTTATATACGGGATGGATCTCAGATCCTCTAGACAAAATTGCCTCTTATGTTTATTTTCCCAAACACTGTGATGCCTATATACTACTACATTGTTAATACATATATAGTTTCTGCCGCTTTCCAATGCAATGGTTTTTTCCACCAGTAAAAAAAAGACACTGGAAAATAAAGGGTGAAAAGGACACGTCAGCGCCCATCCATCTCCGGTTTTTTTCGTGTAAATTTCACGGCTATGCGGCCGACGGGATTCGAACCCGAGACCTCCTGCTACACACAAACCTCCTTTACCACTACACTACACTGTCACTTGTGTCTAGATTCCGTTTTAGTTCCCAAAGATTCCGTTTTAGTTCCCAATATATTATACTAAACCGAGTGTAAATTGTTTGTTTGAGGCCCTAAACGAATTAAAATAAAAAAGTTGTGAACTACAAAATTTCATAACTTTTCGAGATCTACACTTTTAGTTTAGGAAGTTTTTCTATTCGAGGTCGTTTACAAAATTTGAATTTTAAAATTTGGAAATTCAAACGCAGTTTTGCATGACAAGATGTTTTCAAATCAAAAAGTTGCCAACTACAATGTTTCATAACTTTTCGAGATCTACAGAGTTTATTTTGGTTGTTTTTCCATCCGAGGTCGTTTATAAAATTTGAATTTTAAAATTTTAAAATTCAAACGCAGTTTTGCATGACAAGATATTTTTAAATCAAAAAGTTGCCAACTACAATGTTTCATAACTTTTGGAGATCTACAATTTTTATTTAGGAAGTTTTTCCATCCGAGGTCTTTTGAAAAATTCAAATTTTAAAAGTTTCAAATTCAAACGTCGTTTTTCATGACAAAATGATTTCAAATCAAAATGTTGCCAACTACAAAATTTCATAACTTCTCAAGATCTACAAAGTTTATTTTGGTCATTTGTTCATCCGACATAGTGGTAGTAACATTGTTCACAAATCATATATATCTCTCTTCTACTTTCATGAAACTAATATAAGAGATATGAGAGATGTATATTTTATGAACAACGTTATTGTCGCTTTGTCAAATGAAGAAATGATCAAAATAAACTTTGTAGATCTTGAGAAGTTATACAACTTTGTAGTTGAAAAGTTTTTCATTTGAATTCATTTAGGGCCTCAAAAACTGCTTCGAAAAACTGATTTGCCGAGGGCCAACAAAATACACACGGCAAAATGCCTCTTTGCCGAGTGCCAAAACATAGGCACTCGGCAAAATACGGATTTGCCGAGAGCCAGAAAAAAGGCACTCGGCAAACTGAGAGTAAATTGCTTTTTTGAGGCCCTAAATGAATTCAAATAAAAAAGTGGTCAACTACAAAGTTTCATAACTTTTTGAGATCTACAATTTTCATTTAGTAAGTTTTTTCATCCGAGGTCATTTGAAAAATTTGAATTTTAAATTTGAGAGATTCAAACGTAGTTTTGCATGATAAGATGATTTCAAATCAAAAAGTTGTCAACTACATAGTTTCATAACTTTTGCAGATCTACAATTTTCATTTAGGAAGTTTTTCCATCCGAGGTCTTTTGAAAAATTCAAATTTTAAAATTTTCAAATTCAAACGTCGTTTTTGCATGACAAGATGATTTCAAATCAAAATGTTGCCAACTATAAAATTTCATAACTTATCAAGATCTCATAAAAGTTTATTTTGGTCATTTGTTCATCCGACATAGTGGTAGTAACATTGTTCACAAATCTTATATATCTGTCTTCTACTTTCATGAAACTAATATGAGAGATATGAGTGATGTAGATTTTATGAACAACGTTATTGTCGCTTTGTCAAATGAAGAAATGACCAAAATAAACTTTGTAGATCTTGAGAAGTTATACAACTTTGTAGTTGAAAAGTTTTTCATTTGAATTCATTTAGGGCCTCAAAAATTGCTTCGAAAAACTGATTTGCCGAGGGCCAAAAAAATGCACACGGCAAAATGCCTCTTTGCCGAGTGCCAGAAAAAAACACTCGGCAAAGACGTATTTTGCCGTGTGTTTTTGTTTGCCGAGTGTATTTTTCTGGCACTCGGCAAACACGGTCTTTGCCGAGTGCCCGATAAAATACACTCGACAAAGCCTCCGGCACTCGGCAAATCGCCGGTTTCCGGTAGTGGTACTACTATCAACCAAGCTGTAGTGCGAGTTTACTATCAAAACAGGAGCATGCATTTACACATAAAGGAAGCCATGCATCTCTATACATACGGACATATATTTGTCCTTTAGGATAACTCAGCACAGTAAATGATGTTTGCAATATATATATATGTTGCTATTTGTGTGCTCATCAGGGGCAGCATTGGTCGGGCCTAGGGAGTGGTATTTCTTCAGCCAAAGGGACCGAAAGTATGCGACGGGGCAACGCACAAACCGGGCAACAGCATCTGGTTACTGGAAGGCTACAGGCAAGGACCGTGTGGTGGAGTGTCATGGCATGCTGGTGGGGATGAGGAAAACCCTTGTATTTTACCATGGCAGAGCCCCCAAGGGAAGCAAGACGGACTGGGTGATGCATGAGTACAGGATGATGGAGGGCTCACATGAGCAATCTTCCAACCTTTCCAAGGTAATTTATGAAATAAGGTGTGCCTAGCTAGCGGACATACTACTGATCTTGTTTATACATGTGCATGAAACAAGAAATTATATTGCATATCCAAGACATGGAACTAAAAAGGGGTAATAAGTCATTTTCCTTGTGATAGTTTGCAATGGTGATTGATTTGTTCATAACGTCGTAGGAACAAGCTGTCAGCACAATGAATCGCATTGTTGTATAATTTTCTCTATTAAACATGTTGGTATCATGGCTAATTGAAATTATGTGTATATACGATAGAAATCTATAGCGATCATGTTCCGTCCATATAAATTCAAGATTAACTTCATGTTATTAAGTCGCCTAAATAATGTTAGGGAAATATAGGAAATATATATATATATATATATACTATAGCTCCACATGTTTATCCAGTCCACATACATATGTAGCAAACTTAAAAGATAGGTTAATTTGTATGGAACCAAATCGTTAATCTTGGTCTTATTAAATGATTTATCCACACTACTAGAGAACAGACTTTAGAACGATGTCCCAATTTGGCATTAGCATCGGCATTTTTTGTCCCCGGGACTAAAGGTCTCTGCCCAACGGTCCTCCGCGGGGCAGAGATCTTTAGTCCCGGCTGGTATTACCACCACCTTTAGTCCCGGTTGGTAATACCAACCGGGACTAAAGCTTTTAGTCCCGGTTTGGGTGATGCCCCGGGAATAAAGATTAATCTTTAGTCCCGGTTTGGACCCCTAATCGGGACTAATTATCCCAGCCTATAATTCAGCTCATTTCTTCCTCCCCGAGCCCGAGCCATTGCATTCAAACTCACCGCTCTCGTTCTTCAAATTTTGTTGTTGTTCTTGCTCTCTCCCCTTCATTGGTGTTGCTCTTCGATTTTGGAGGTAAGAAACTTAATCCTCTTATGTTTTGTCAGTAGCTTATCTTATTTTGCGATGTAGATGTATGTGTAACTTTATATGTTGGACTTTATTATGATTTTATATGTCATTTTTAGCTCAAAATCACATGATGATTTGCATATATGTTTGGATAAACAAAAGTTAAATTAGTTCATCAAAATCACGCCTCGCTCGTCCTCGCTGGAGCACGCGCCATCCTCGTCCCCGGTGGCTTACGTGATCTTAGAATTAATTTTTCCATGAAATGAAAAACTTAGAAAATTGTTAGAAAATTGTAGAAAATCCGTACTAGTTGAACTTGTGGACCGTGTTCATCTCAGCGAGCATGTTCTCTGCCGAGCGGTAACGGACGTCAAGGAGGAGCTTTGATTCTACGAGGGAGAGCGGCAACGGTCGTGGAAGACCGTGTTCCCTTTCTCGTAGAATCGGAGCTCTTCCTTGGCCAAGTACGGTGTCGTCCGGTGGAGAAATGCTCGCGAGATGATCACGTAAGCAAGGTCAACTAGTACGGATGGTTATTTATTGAAACATGTGAAATCCGTACTAGTTTAGGTTAAATATATCATTTTAGAAAATATGAAATTTACACTAGTTTGTAAAAATAAGTATAGAAAGTAGATGACAATCGGTATCGGATCCTCGGCCTCTCGCTCGGTTATGAACGATCGAGGCCGAACTCCTCTCATTATCTGCGACAAGTGTAAAGGTAAGATTGTGATGGAGTACCGAGTCAAGAGACAGGACCCAACAAGGGTCGTGTTTTCTACAAGTGCCCGGATCGCGATGTGAGTTTCTTACGCATTTTTTATTTATGGCTAATTGACTCGCTTTTCTTGAATATTTTTGACTAAATATTTTTGGCTTTAATTTCAAAGTGGGAGGGCAATGGATGCGATGGTTGGTATTGGGAGGAAGATTATGCTACATACGTGCGTAATTTGGGTGCGCTTGAGGTAGCGGTGCGCCGATGAGTCGATGAGCCAAAGCAGGAGAAGCTTATTGATATTCAACGGAAGAATGATTTGTCTGTTTTAGTTATGCGACGATCACGAAATAATTATGTTACTGAAGTGCATTGTAGTTTTAGTTTATTTAGTGATAGTTGGGATTGCTTACGTTGTAGCCAGGCTTAGTTAATTAATCAACCGTGTGTGTGTCATTTATGTTGTGTAATAAAATACTTAATTATATTTAAGGTTTTCATAATTTATCGTGTAATACAGATTATGTCACACCATTAGATGTATAATGCCGATCGCCGCTCCCAAGACTTTAGTGAGGGCTTGCACTATTTCTTAGGTGTGGCCGAGGCAAATAAGTGGGATGGTTTCATGTGCTGTCCATGTGCCCTATGTAAGAATTTAAAGGAATATTCAAGCTCAATGAGTCTTCATTCACATTTGCTTAAGTCAGGTTTCATGTCAAACTATATATGTTGGACTAAGCATGGAGAAAGCGGGGTAATGATGGAAGAAGGTGAAGGAGAAGATTTAGACATTGATGACATTATTGCTCAGTATGGTGCTTTTGATGATACTACAATGGGGGGAGATGAAGAAGAGGTAGCGGTAGAAGATGATCTCGGTGATGCTCTTGGCGATGCCATTCGTGATGCACAACAAGAATTGGAAAGTGAAAAGAGAAAGTTAAGTTCGAGCGCATGCTTGAGGATCATAGGAAGTTGCTATACCCGACGGCCAAGAGGGCAAAAAAGTTGGGTACAACACTGGAATTGCTACAGTGGAAGGCAAAGAATGGTATATCCGACAAGGCATTTGGGAATTTATTGAACCTCATAAAGAAGATGCTTCCGAAGCCAAATGAATTGCCCACCACTACGTACGAAGCAAAAAAGGTTGTCTGCCCATTGGGATTAAAAATCCAGAAGATACATGCATGTCCTAATGACTGCATCCTCTACCATGGCAATGAATACGAGAATTTGGATGAATGCCCGGTATGTAAAGCATCGCGGTATAAGATCAAGTGTGATGATCCTAGTGACGTCGAGGGTGAACAACGTCCTAGAAAGAAAATCCCTGCCAAGGTTATGTGGTATGCTCCTATAATACCACGCTTAAAACGTTTGTTCAAAAATAAAGACCATGCAAAGTTGTTGCGGTGGCATAAAGAAGACCGTAAGGTAGACAATATGCTGAGACACACAGCTGATGGGTCCCAGTGGAGAGCGATAGACAGGGAATTTCCAGAGTTTGCAAATGAGGCTAGAAACTTAAGGTTCGCCTTAAGTACAGATGGTATGAATCCTTTTGGGGAGCAGAGCACTAGTCATTGCACTTGGCCAGTTACTCTATGTATCTACAACCCTTATATAGGCCATTTTTTCATTTGAGAAAGCTTGAACAAAATGTAGTTCAAATTTCACAAGTGTGTGACATAGTTTTAGAAAGTCTATATGAGATTCAAGAAGTTGTGACTAGTGTTTGATAAAAATCTCTCAAATGGGAAAATGAGCTATGTAACAATTGTAGATCTTGCTGAGATGATCAAACTTGGTATTCAGAGTTTTTTCATCTGAGGTCATTTAGTGTCTCATTTGAGCAAGTTTGACCAAGTCAAATTTGGTCAAATGAAAAAACAACACTTTGACTCTAGTATTATGAACTCTAAATGACTTCAAATTGAAAAGTTTTGAATACCAAGTTTGTTAAACTCAAAAAGATCTACAATTGTTATTTTGGTCAACTTTCCATTTGAGAAAGTTTGGATGGTTCAAATTTGTGATTTTTAAATTTCAACGCCTACAAACTAGTTTTCGGGACCCTAGATTGTCTCCAATTGAAAAGTTTTGAATACCAAGTTTGTTAAGCTCATCAATATCTACAATCCTTATATAGGCCATTTTTTCATTTGAGAAAGCTTGAACAAAATGTAGTTCAAATTTCACAAGTGTGTGACATAGTTTTAGAAAGTCTATATGAGATTCAAGAAGTTGTGACTAATGTTTGATAAAAATCTCTCAAATGGGAAAATGAGCTATGTAACAATTGTAGATCTTGCTGAGATGATCAAACTTGGTATTAAGAGTTTTTTCATATGAGGTCATTTAGTGTCTCATTTGAGCAAGTTTGACCAAGTCAAATTTGGTCAAATGAAAAAACAACACTTTGACTCTAGTATTATAAACTCTAAATGACTTCAAATTGAAAAGTTTTGAATACAAAGTTTGTTAAACTCAAAAAGATCTACAATTTTTGTTTTGCTCAACTTTCCATTTGAGAAAGTTTGGACGGTTCAAATTTGTGATTTTTAAATTTCAACGTCTACAAACTAGTTTTCGGGACCCTAGATTGTCTCAAATTGAAAAGTTTTGAATATCAAGTTTGTTAAGCTCATCAATATCTACAATCCTTATATAGGCCATTTTTTCATTTGAGAAAGCTTGAACAAAATGTAGTTCAAATTTCACAAGTGTGTGACATAGTTTTAGAAAGTCTATATGAGATTCAAGAAGTTGTGACTAGTGTTTGATAAAAATCTCTCAAATGGGAAAATGAGCTATGTAACAATTGAAGATATTGCTGAGATGATCAAACTTGGTATTCAGAGTTTTTTCATCTGAGGTCATTTAGTGTCTCATTTGAGCAAGTTTGACCAAGTCAAATTTGGTCAAATGAAAAAACAACACTTTGACTCTAGTATTATGAACTATAAATGACTTCAAATTGAAAAGTTTTGAATACCAAGTTTGTTAAACTCAAAACGATCTACAATTGTTGTTTTGCTCAACTTTCCATTTGAGAAAATTTGGACGGTTCAAATTTGTGATTTTTAAATTTCAACGCCTACAAACTAGTTTTCGGGACCCTAGATTGTCTCAAATTGAAAAGTTTTGAATACCAAGTTTGTTAAGCTCATCAATATCTACAATCCTTATATAGGCCATTTTTTCATTTGAGAAAGCTTGAACAAAATGTAGTTCAAATTTCACAAGTGTGTGACATAGTTTTAGAAAGTCTATATGAGATTCAAGAAGTTGTGACTAGTGTTTGATAAAAATATCTCAAATGGGAAAATGAGCTATGTAACAATTGTAGATCTTGCTGAGATGATCAAACTTGGTATTCAGAGGTTTTTCATCTGAGGTCATTTAGTGTC